CCAATGCAGCAACCAAGGTTTCGTATTCCTGCTGTTGGGCTGCAGGAATAGTTTGCAGCAGTTCCAGGGCAGGGCCGCGCAGCGCGATGACAAGTGCCGCTGCTTTCTCCTGGTCAGTCCATCCGTTGGCAGCGGCGACTGCTTCAAACTGACGGTGGTACATTGTCCATGTCGTTTGTCCATCGTAGGTCGGGGCCTTAAGGTTCGCTGTTCCTTGAACGCCAGGTGTCTTTACTTGTACCTTGGTCTTCTGTAGGTCCATCTCCAATCTTTCTATCTTCTGCTGAAGGCGTTCCTCAAGATCTTCTACGGCTTCTTGAAAGTGGTTCTGCTGTTCCTGGCAACGTACTTCCAACATTGCTTGTTGCTGTTCCCCCAAGCTTTTCTGAAGTCGAATTTCTTGATTTTCTAAAGGTTTCTTAAGACGGTCCTGATCTTCTTGTCTTTCTTTCTGGCGGCGCGTTTCTATATCTTCTAAAATTTCCCTCCATTCATTTTTCTGACGAATTTCTAAATTACCCAGTATTTTCTCAAGCCGGTCCTGTTCTTCTTGTTTCTCTTTCTTTTGACGGGCTTCTAAACCTTCTAACATTTTCTCTTGATTTTCCATAAGTATTTTCTGTAGATGGTCTTGTTCCTCTTCTTTCTCTTTTCGCAACCTCTCTTGTTCTTCTGCCTTTTCTCTTCTCATATTCTCCATAAAATCGCCCAATAATTTGCTTACTTCCTCCATTTTCTTCGCCTGCTCCCTTGTACCAACCATAAAAATACTCTAATTCGGTCTAAAAATCTTCCAATCCACTTAATTTCTTTTTAAAATCCTCTTGAATCGCACTTCCGACACCAATTGTTACGGATTCCGTGGGTCCACTATTTAAACTCACGATAAAATACTTAACGAATTTATTTGTTTCACTCTGTACACAACTTATACTATTTACAACACAACTTATGCAACTACTATTACTCTAACGGTATTTCGCGGTATTTTCAAACTTCAGACTTAGACTTCAAACTTCAGACTTCAAACTTAAACTTGTCCAACTGTCAAAGCGCGGGCCTTATATACCCCCTGGCGGTTGTTTCTAGATTTTTCTAAAGAATTTTATAATTTTCTTTACTTTCTGGCGAATGCGCCAGGTTCCTCAATGCACGTTGCGATTTTTTAGCAGTATGCAGTTATGCAACCAGTAATACACCTTGACAATATAATATTATCTTATATAATTCCCGTGTTACAGTTTTGGTTACCGTACTCCTCCGAAACCGCTTAACCGATTCTGATGAAATTTTATATGTATATTCAGTAGGTCTGAGCATAGATAGTTATATATTTTTTATACCCCTAAGTGATAAGGGTAGTCCACCCTCATTTTTTTATTTTGTGAAAAAAGAAATATTTTTATTTTTTTTTATTTGGCATTAAAAAATACAAACAACACTAAATTTTCACCGTTCTACCTTCATCCCCTATTTTTTTAATAGGGGTTGTTTTTTAATTTTTTGTTACCATCTCCGAAACGGTTTAACCGATTTTGATAAAATTTAATATGTATATTCAGTACGTCTAAGAATAAGTTGTTATCTATTTGTATACCCTTAACTGATAAGGGTAGCCGAGAGGGTAGCCCACCCTCATTTTTTTTAGTTTTTGAAAAGAAAAAAATTTTTTTATTTTTTTATTTGGCATTAAAAAATACAAACAACCCTAAATTTTCACCGTTCTACCATCATCCCCTATTTTTTAATAGGGGATGTTTTTTTTAAATTTTTTGTTACCATCTCCGAAACGGCTTGATCGATTTTGATGAAATTTTATATGTATATTCAGTAGGTCTGAGAATACGTTGTTATCTATTTTTATACCCTTAAGTGATAAGGGTAGCCCACCCCCATTTTTTTTATTTTTTGAAAAAAAAAATATTTTAATTTTTTTTATTTGGCATTAAAAAATACAAACAACCCTAAATTTTCACCGTTCTACCATCATCCCCTATTTTTTAATAGGGGTTGTTTTTTAAGTTTTTTGTTACCATCTCCGAAACGGCTTAGCCGATTTTGATAAAATGTTATATGTATATTCAGTACGTCTAAGAATAGGTTGTTATCTATTCTTATACCCTTAAGTGATAAGGGTAGCCGAGATGGTAGCACACCCTCATTTTTTTATTTTTGAAAAAAAAAATATTTTTTTTATTTGGCCTTAAAAAATACAAACAACTCTAAATTTTCACCGTTCTACCATCAGCCCCTATTTTCTAATAGAGGTTGTTTTTTTGTTACCACCTCCGAAACGGCTTAGCCGATTTTGATGAAATTTTATTATGTATATTGAGTAGGTCTGAAAATAGTTTGTTATCTATTTTTTATACCCTTAGGTGATAAGGGTAGCCCATTCCCATTTTTTTATATTTTGAAAAAAAATATATTTTAATTTTTTTATCTTGCATTAAAAAATACAAAGAACCCAAAATTTTCACCGTTCTACCATCATCCCCCTATTTTTTAATAGGGGTTGTTTTTTTTTAATTTTTTGTTACCATCCCCGAAACGGCTTCACCGATTTTGATAAAATTGTATATGTATATTCAGTACGTCTAAGAATAGGTTGTTATCTATTTTTATACCCTTATGTGGCAAGGGTAGCCGAGAGGGTAGCCCACCCTCTTTTTTATTTTTTGAAAAGAAAAAATGTTTTTATTTTTTTAGTTGACATTAAAAAATACAAATAACCCTAAATTTTCACCGTTCCACCATCATCCCCTATTTTTTAATAGGGGTTGTTTTTTTTTTATTTTTGGTACCATCTCCGAAACGGCTAGACCGACTTTGATAAAATTTTATATGTATATTCAGTAGATCTGGTTTGGTTTGGTTTGGACACAACCTATTCCTAGGTTATTATCTATTTTTTATACCCCTAAGTGATAAGAGTGGTCCACCCCAACTTTTTTTTATTTTTTAGACAATTTTTTTTATTTTAATTGTTTTATAGGGAGTGCTTATTTTTAGGGGGTGCATGTCCAAAATTCTCTCCTGGATACTCACTTCTCACTTTCATCACTTAAGGGACCTCTGTACAAAATTGCATACTCCTAGTCCTAGAACGGATTTTACATAAAAATTATACAAATTTTTACCGTTAGTTTTATCCCCTTAAGGAATGAATTCCAAAAATTGCTCTAATTATTCAATTACGCTACATAATAAACCTCTGTGCAAATTGTCATATTCCTTGAACAGAATTTATTGTTCCAGAACGTTCAACCCCTCATTTCACACCCTTATAGGGCGAATTTCCAAGAATTGCTTTTTAGTGCTAAAAATTACGTTACATAAGGAACGTCTGCAAAATTCATACTTCTAAAACCGATTTTAACAAATTTTTGTACAAATTTTCACCCCTTATTTTTTAGGGGATGTATGCCTAAACTTCGCTTCTAGGTACTCACTTTCATCATTTAAGGGACCTCTGAACAGAATTTCATACTCCTAGTCCTAGAACGGATTTTACATAAAAAATTATACAAATTTTCACCCCTAGTTTTACCCCCTTAAGGAATGAATTCCAAAAATCACTCTAATTATTCAATTACGCTACATAAGGAACCTCTGTGCAAATTTTCATATTCCTTCAACAGAATTGTTTCAGAACGTTCACCCCTCATTTCACACCCTTAGAGGGCGAATTTCCAAAAAGTGCTACTTAGTGCTAAATTACGTTACATAAGGAACGTCTGTGCAGAATTTCATACTTCTGAAACCGTTTGTAACAAACTTTTGTACAAATTTTCATCCCTTATTTCTAGGGGATGAATGTCAAAAATTAGCTTCTAGGTACTCACTTTCGTCACTTAAGGAAACTCTGTACAAAATTTCATACTCCTAGAACTAACATTTTTTGTACAAAATTTCACCCCCCAGTTTCACTACCCTTAGGCTATAGATACATGTCCAAAAATCGCTTATCAATGTTCAAATGCGCCTCATCTGTGCAAAAGTTCATACTCCTAGTAGGTACAGATTTTTTTTGTAATATACGGATTTTGTAAATACGGAGAATATTAATTCGTTCTCTAAGATGAGCACTACTAAGTAATTTTAGATAAAGGGGTGTAATTGTATAATTACACCCCTTTATTTAATTACACCCCCTTATGGGTCGAATTTTAAAAAATTACTTAGTAGTGCTCATCTTAGAGAACGAATTAATATTCTCTGTATTTACTCCGGTTTCCTAATACTAGCACAGATAACACAAAATCAAACTAGTTATTTTTTTATTAGAATAGAAGTAATTTTTATTAGAAGGTACAAAAAAATTAAAAATCTAAAATTTTATTTTCATAGCTACGTTTTTTTTCATAGCCTTAGGATGCCTCATGTACTAACGAATACGAAATATACATATAATCAATACATATTTCTTTAAATATCGAGAAATAAAATATGTTTTGGCAACACCGTACGAAATATCGCCGCGCGTAGTCCTCAAAATTTAAAATATTAGCATTTTCAGGCTTCGATTATGTTCAAAAACGCCACCGTGTGACAAATCACTAAAGCTTCCACACGACAGTTCTTAAAACTATAATATTCTTTGGTCCAGGTCGTCCAGTACGTCCCACTAGTCTAGTCGGGCACCCAACAATGTTGCCAAGTTGTAGAAGGTTATTTATGGGTTGTTTCTTAGGGTTGTTTATTGTTTTGTAAGATCAAGATACGGTAATGTATCATAATTGGATAGAAACTGAAGAAAGCGACTTGCGGTAACATTTGGCTCACACAAAAATCATGAAAAAGTAGGGGAAAGGTGAAAACTACCCCCCACCCCCACATAAATTTTAGAAAAATATTTTTCAACTCCACCGACGACCAATTTTTTTTTCGTAAAATGTTTGGAACAGGTCTAGATTTACTGAATAATTTCCTTAATCCAGATTAAGTTATTTTTTAGGCTACAATAAAAAATAATAAAATAATAAAAAAAAACAAAAAAAAAAGTACAAAGTTAATATTCTATAAATTAACAAATACAAAAATATTCTACATTATACATACAATATACAAGTTAAATGAACAATATGAACCGAGAAAAGGGTATAAAAATATGGGGCCTATCCTATATTATTTACAAATTAATAAGTCTAATTATCACAGACTTGAAAATTTTGTTTTACACACAACACAAACATGAAAGTTTCTTTGACACTATAAGAAAACATAAATGCGAAAAATATTAACAGGTACACTAAGTGACATCATATAACATTTGCAATAAAAAATATATCATTCTGTATCGACTTTCATCCTCAATCAACTTTCAGGTTCTTTAGTGGCATTTTCAACATCATCTGGCAGAACTGGACAATTAAGAGGAAGATTTAACTGAGTCCTAAGGTAGTCTCCTTCTTTTTTCCTCCAAATCGCAATTTTTTTTACTGATTGGTATTTTTTGTGCATATCGCAAGTAGCCTAAAATTAACAGGCAAACATTACAGTAGTCTATTTAGAAATATAAAGAATATAGAACCTCGAAAGCCAAAATAAATTACTGCAGATTTTCATTTCTACCTATTCTTAGTAGAAATTTTATAATTTGAAGCCCACACCAAGGTTCGCTTACGCACCAGATACACAAAGTGTAAATAAAAAGGTGAGAGTGCAAAAATGGTTGTGTGTACCATGTGTGTACTTTTATAATATTTTTTTTAATTGGAGGCTACAGAGTTATTTTTTAATTAGGTATATATGAGATTTTGGTATATGACATAAATTAGGATTGATTGACGTATTCAATTATTTTTTTATCACTTTCTGTTTCACCGGAAATGATGACGATTTTTGGTTTTTAAATGGCACCCTCGGTATATTTTTACTTTATTCGATAGACTCTCTGACGTCTGAAATGACACTCTGAATATCATATGTCAACTCTTGATATTTTCGCTTTAAGAAAAATCGTGCCATGGCTATGCTAAAAACCCTAATTTTTAATCAAGGAGACTTGGAAAAATAGATTTGATCGTCTAATGTATTTCATATTACATAAATTGTCCTGGCCGATTAAAAGATGCCCAAATCGTATTTTTAATCATATCTCAATTTTTTCAAATGAAACAAGGGTGGCTCATTAGCATATTTGGAAAAGCATTTATTTGCGAATAATTTGGTACCACACACTTGATATTTCGAGTCAAATTGTCGTTATGAACCGCATATTACAATTTCAAATAAACCATATAAGAAAATATCAAAAGATGACATATGATATGTCATTTTATTCAGTGTCATATTCTATCGAATAAAGTAAAAAATACCCGGGGTGTCATTTAAAAATCAAAAGTTGTAGTCATTTCCGGTGAAACAGGAAGTGGTCTAAAGCAATTGAATACGTCAATCAATCCTAATTTATGTCATGATATACTAACATACCAAATCTCGTTTTTTTATCTAAAAAAATTGTGTGTGCACTATGTGCGCATATTTGAAGTGAAACTACTATCTATCTGTCTGTCCGTCCCATCGTGATGAAGATGTAAACGAAACGTCGTATCCAACTCTGCAGAGTGAGACCGTTTGCAGCATCGCTTACATAGCCTACCTACGAAATTTGATCGCGATCGGACGACATAAACATTTGACGTTTCTTACGTCAAAACTAACTGTCACAGTGACACGCGTCGTATACATACATACATACGGCCGTTACTCGCTGACGAGTATTCGACACACATAAAGAAGATGGTCACGCAAGGCGTTTTCTTGGGTTTTTCTGTGACTGAAAAGCCCGATACGTGATGTTATCTGCCTACCGCACTCCGGACATTCAAAAATCTCATTGCTTTGTTACCTCTTTACTTTTTGGTTGCCGCTGTTAACCGAGTTTACAACCCTTCTCCATTAGGTTCTATTGTGAGCTGCTTTTTCCCACTCATTCTGCATGTTATACACACATACATAGGATCCTATATCTCCTACGCGAAGCAAAGGGCTTCAGTGAAAGCTCTCCATCGGGTTCTGTTTTTGGCAGTTGTTTTTGCTTCCTTCCATGTTGACCCTACTTGTTGAAGCTCATCCAGTATGGAACGTCTCCATGTTTGAGTAGGTCGTCCTTGCTTTCTTTTTCCTTGGGGATTCCACTCCAACGCTGATCTCGCTATATTACTATCAGGTTTCCGCAAAGTGTGACCTATCCAACCCCATTTTCTTTTGCGGATTTCAATGCCTACTTCTTGTTGGTTTGTACGATGAAGCACGTCGGTGTTACGTATAGTGTCTGGCCAAAAGATTTTAAGTATTTTCCGCAAGCAGCGATTGATAAATACCTGTGGACGGTTGATGGATATTTTTGTCACTCTCCATGTCTCGCAGCCATATAATAAAACTGGTATGACGTTGGAATTGAATATTCTTAATTTTGTTTGTATGGAGAGTTGACGGGAGGTCCAAACTGATTTTAGTTGGCCAAAGGCTCGCTGCGCCTTCCTGATCCTGCTGACAATATCCGCGTCTGCGCCACCGTTTGCTGTTACAATACTTCCCAGGTAAGTAAACTCTGTTACATTCTCGACATGTTTGATTCCTACATTGAATGGAGTGTTGTTGTTTGTATTAATGCGCATTGACTTTCTTTTGTCGATGTTTATGCTTAATCCTACTTTGTCTGCTTCTGTTTTTAGACGTCTGAGCATCATTTCCATGTCTTTGAAGGATTGCGTTGTGAGACAGATATCGTCAGCATAATCAAGATCCGTCAGATGCGATGTCCATTGTACTCCCCTAATGTTTGCTGTGGCTTTAGTCAAAACGTTGTCGAGCACGATATTAAATAAAAGCGGCGATAATGTGCAACCCTGCTTTACTCCTGTCCCTAAGTTAAAACTGTCGCTGGTTCTACAGTTGTGCAGCACATTGCATTCTGTGTTTCTGTAGAGTTCCTTGATTATATTAATTAGTTTTTCCGGAACACCTTTTTCTTTTAGAGTTTTCCATACCATCGCATGGGGGATACTGTCAAAAGCTTTGACGAAATCTATGAATAATAAGAATAAAGGTGACCTAAATTCTATTGACTGCTCTATGATAATGCGCAATGTATTAATATGGTCAATGCACGAGTGGTTCGGTCGGAAACCAGCTTGGTTCTCTCTCAGAGTAGGCTCTATATAGGAGTTTAACCTTAAGTGAACTATAGAGGATATTATCTTGTGAATGGTGTTTAACAAAACAATACCTCTCCAGTTGTCACAGTTAGTGGTATCTCCTTTTTTAGGGAGTTTAATAATGAGACCCTGTTTCCATTCATCTGGGATGATGTTAGATACCTAAGCTCGTGTAATTAGAGGATGCAGTATGTCTGCTGCTGTGCTAGGATCTGTTTTGAGGAGGTCTGCAGGGACGCTATCGGGGCCGGCTGCTTTATTGTTCTTAAGTGTTTTAATAGCTTTTTGTATTTCTGTTTTCGTTGGCGTGTCGCAGTTGATAGGCATTTCGATTGTTGGCTTCGGTTCCTCGTTGTCGAAATTTTGTTCACTTATTGGTCCAAGCAGGTTGCTGAAGTGTTCTTTCCATCTGTCAAGCTGTTCTTCAGAGGATGTTAGTGGTCTGCCGTCTTTGCTTTTAATAACTGTATTGAAGTTACTACGTTGTCCACTCAGGTGTTTTGTTATTTTGTACAGTTCCCTCATATTGCATTGTTCTGCGGCTTTTTGTGCCTCGTTTGCTAGTTGTTCATGCCAAGCTCGTTTGTCCTTTCTGGCTGATCTCTTAACTACTCTATTCGATACTTGATATTGTTGTTGTAAAGTAGTTTTGGTTTCGTGAGTTGAAGTTGTAATTATTCTTTGTTTTATCTGAGCTCCTTGTTCTATTAAGTTCCAAGTATCGTCGCTAAGCCATTCTTTGCGTTTTATGCGTTTTGTACCTAATGTCGCTTCAGCAACGGTTTTAAACAAGTCTGCTGCCTCGTTCCACGAAGCTACGTTAGTATTCTCCCTTTGTTGTTTGAGCTTGTTCTTAAATTTCTGGAGTTCGTTAGGTTTTCTAAGCTGTTCGATGTTATATTTCGGTCTTTTTGCAAAATTTTTATCTATCTTTTTTAAAAGTTTAATTCTCAGTTAACACTAGAAAATGATCGCTTGCAATGTCTGCCCCGCGTCTGCTTCTGACATCCAGTAATGAGCTCCTCCATCTTTTTGAGATCAGTATATGGTCTATCTGATTTTCTGTTCGCATGTCTGGGGAAACCCAGGTTACTTTGTGAGCAGTTTTATGCGGGAAGATTGACCCGCCAATAACGAAATTGTTGCATTCTGTATGTTAATTCGCTTTAAATTTTCGTGGAAAATGTCCTTGTACCTTTTCAGTTGTCCACCCGGCCTCCTCTTACCGTCTACAAGCTCACCGTAAAGCAGAGATGTTGACATGCGGTTTTCTTGCATTCTGCATACGTGACCAGCCCATCTTAAGCGGGATTTTGTGACCATGACTTCAATACTCTCGCAGTTAGCTTTTTCAAGGACCGATACGTTTGAGACATGATGGAACCACCGGACTCTTAAGAGTTGTCTAAGGTGTCTCTGTTGCAACTTGTTTAATGCGTTCATGTGTCGGCGGTACGGCACCCAGGTTTCGCTCCCATATAACATGGTGGGGATTATAATTGCTCGGTACAATTTCCAGAATGCTCTTGAGGCGCTACTAATCCTGTGCTGAATTTCAGAGTCAATATTGGCCCTTTCCGAAATCAAACTGCCAAGGTAATTGAATTCCGCCACATATTCCGCCAGCTCCCTAGCTCACATAGGGTCCGAGTTACGACGCTCCAAAATCGTTACCACTTTGCCTCTTGCGTCTCGTGTGTTATGGTCGTGTCACGGCCTTCAATTTTTACTCCTATCGCGCGTAAAGAAGTTTCACTTCAAATATAAAAAATTGGCGCCGGAAGGCACGTATAGCCGCCCATACTAAAATATGTTAATAAAAAGTTGGTAGGCAGTTCTTTTTGTTTCAAAGTAAAGGAATTTTTCCAATTTTTTTTTATCTCAAAAACTGCGACTGATTTTGATGTTATTACAAATTTTGTTGCAAATATTATTCCTAATCTTAAATTGAAAATCGCGTTTCGCTAGCTACTGTAATTTTGGAGTTACGATTTTTTTAAATTTTTAACCCCCTCCCATACCCCTTATCAACCCCCCCACCCCCACCAAAAACTAATGGCCAGATTCTCGGGTGCCCGGTGCCACAGTATTTTTGTGCCAAATTTGGTTAAAATCGGTTTAGCGGTTTTTGAGTTATCGTGTTACAAACGGACAGACAGACAGACACCATGAAAATATTTTGTATTTAGGTCATTTATGACCCAAATAACTTATTTTGAGTGAAATTAAAAAAACTTTTTTTTTTGCCGATCTTAATAGCCTACCATACCTATTGGTATGGTCGGCTAAAAAGTTATGGAGGTGAGCCACTTTTGAGACGCACCCTGTAGTACGGAAGATATAAATAAAAATTCAACATTAGTATTCCTATTAGTATTATTAACTGCATAATAAAATTGTAAAAGAACGCAGTAGTCCAGAGTGTAATATAATACACACAATCACATTACACTCTTTATTGTGGCTAACGTTTTTGTACATATTGTGATTAAGATGTATATTGTGATTTTGGTTCACCCTGTGTAAGCAATTAACTTTGTAGGGAAATGCCAAATTAAAGACTTTTAGGAAAAAAACTTATTTTTTAAGAATAATTCCCCTCTGGGAATGTTTTGCACGTATTTATTTACACTCTGTTTGTTATTCATAAAATAGATTCCACAAAGCAACAAAAAATACATACTTGAGTTTCTTTATCCACCATCTTGTAAACGGGTTTTCGAGACATATTTTGTAAATCAGAGATTTTTTGTTTTAATTTCCTCACTGTTTCGTCATGTTTATGTTGTATTAACAAAATGTCGCTCTCCAAATCTGCTATTTTTTCTTTGTACTCCATTATTAATTTTTCCCCATTGGATAATTTACTTTCTAATTCTAAAAAAGTAACAATACAGTAATATTGAAAAAATGTATTGGTAAGGTCTTTTGAAAGGTGTGCCAAAATGTTCGCAACTATAGTTTGTCTTTTACAGGGGGTCGGGACCTTTGATGTTAAAACGGCAAAATAAAACACTATTCACCACAATACATCAAAATACATTAATTTTAACGCTAGGCGCGCGTTTCACTAACTGGTGGTAGCATCATCAGCAGATTAATAAAAATGGTTTTCTTTTGGGTTAAACTGAGTTTTAATAATCTGTGGATGCCAATAGGGTCCGACCGAACCTGGATTTTTAGTCTCGGCCAAGACCGAGACCGAGAGAAAAAAAAATTCTCGGCCGAGAACGAGACACGATGCAATATTTATTTAATAGTTTATTATATGAAAAAACATCTGATAATGTAATAAAAACGTTATTTTCATACAGAAACGGTTTTATTGGGATTTAATACTATAAAATTACTAATACTAATAAAATTACTTTTTAGCCTATGTTATAGGCTATAATGTAATTTTGTAGCATTGCATCCTTTAAAAATTATGCAGTGTTTCATCATATTCTTTCTAAATATTTGTTTGCTAGAGATGCTTGTTGGTGGTGCAGACTAGAAATGTATAAGCTGCTGGTTTCAGAACTCTGTATGGAGGTGAATAATTACACACAAAAATTATAATTCATATAAAAGCACAATTCTGTTAAACTTATAAAACTTACATTAATAAGATACTAACATCTAATATTTCGTTCATTGTTTACGCATAGAAATACGAAGGCGATTCTTCAGCCGTCCAGGAAATACCCTTTGTGATTAGATCATAAATATATGGATCATATTATATGATCCATTTTTTGTGACTTCAGACGAGTATTTCATTCATCCACCCATTGATAGGTGGAGCGATACGCTCAAAAATAAGTTAATTTAATGATCGTGAACAGTCTCGGCCGTGGCCGATAATCTCGGCCTTTTTATGCCGAGAACGAGACCGAGATCTCGGCCTAATTTTTAGCCGAGAATGACTATAACCGAGACCGAGATCTCGGTCGGATCTTAGACAGCATGGTTAGCGAAAAACACGTCAATTGTTAAAAGTTATCAATTTCAAGTAGGTATGATAGACCTTTATTCTAGATGGAGATAGAACTACCCTCTATAAAACCGTCCCAGATACTGGCTTTTGTCAAAGCCCTGGGACTGTATGATGAGTTATGATTCAAGAAAGGGGGACACAATGGATCTGTAAGGTCGAAGTGATTAACCCCCCTCCCACTCATTCTAAATTCTAAAAAAAATTCTAGACCTTTATTCACTTTAACTGTATTTCAACTCATAATTTTAAGCGCATATCTTCGTTCTTTGCAACTAAATCGTATCACAGAATAACTAAATCGTATCTACAACTTTAAAAATAAACTTATGAAAACAATTAGGGATATTCTATACAATATGCTCTTTGAATCTTTATAGTCCAAGAAAATAGGCCTTTAAATATGAAATTTTAGTAAAAACTTGAATTTTTGATATAAGTTACTTTGAAAGATCTAAAAACGAATTGTGGAAGGGGTAAATAAATAAATAAAATTCGAAATTTATGGGCGGGATGATAGTAGAAATTTAAAAAAAATTATAAGTTGCTGAAAAATTCATATATTTAACATTTTTATTCAATTTGTTTGGAAAATTATAAATTTCAATTAAAATTTTTTCAAATTCACCCCGAGATGGGGTGAAAAATATATATAGAGTGTTTTTTTTTCAAATCTAGGAGAAACGGTAAGGGCTTTGAAAAAAGTGTTTGAATAAAAGCTGTCCCCTAGCTTCTAGTCACCCTATCTTGGTTAATTTTGATTTGAGCAAAAAAAGTATAGAGACCATTTTTATGTAAAATTGGACGCTCTACAATTTTTTTTTAGTTCTTATCGTTTCTCCGGAACTTCGAAAAAATAATTTTATTTATTTATTTCACCCCTCTTCGGGGGTGAATTTAAAAAAAATCTTTCGCAATTCGTTTTTAGACCTTTCAAAGTAACTTATATCAAAAATTCAAGTTTTTACTAAAATTTCATATTTGAAGGCCTACTTTCTTGGATTATCTAATAAATCACACTTTAAGATGCGTCGAAAACTATATTTTTGATGTAGTTGCAAGAAACTTAATAATATAAAAATTTAATGCACTTTTCTGTAAGTGAATATTTGTGCATGTGATCGTGACTTAGTTGTGACTGAGTGGTGACTTCTCTGTAGGTTTTATTTAATTTGGACAATTACAAAATGGATCATCTATTTTTTTTGTTAAAAACTCAATAAACAATTTTCCCATTTCTTGTAAACCTCTTCGCACAACCCTGTATATCGTATTCAAGGTACTGTCATTACAAGGTCAATACCTATACCTAGACTAGTAATGCTAAAGCCTTACCTTTATTTTTATCAGCTATACTCTGGTCGTGGAATGAATCTACATTTTGTGTCTTTAAATCTAAAAAAAATATTTTCAAGAACCTAGTTTATTTAACTATTTTTTATATTAATATAAAATACATGCATACTACCTACAACAATACGAAATTCGAACTCTTAACTAAGTTTTTCAAGGAATAAAGAAAGATTATGTGAATTTCTCAGCATCCCCAACGACAAAAAAGGTACAAGTCGTTCAGAATTATGAATTTTATATCTATGTACCAAATTTAATAAATATACGGGGATCTAGATGTACAATTCAAATTCTAAACAACTTTTCCAAATATAGGGTGATTCACTGTGGTGGCACGTTAGACGTTTATGGAGAACCAGGGATAGATTTTTTTTTGAAAATTTGTTTTTCTACATAAAGGCACCTGCTCCATCTATCTAAAATATTTTCAGCGTTACAATGTTGCCGCATCATTTGAAAAGTGGTAGCATATTCATTTTAAATGGAACGCCCGGTATATTATTACATTTTTAATGGAAACTACTTTCATAATCTCATAATTTTTCTATTATACTAACCTATAGGAATATGATATATCGTTAAAAATAAATTTTATTTGTGTTTCCATATTTTTAATAGTATACCTAGGCTTGAATTTAAAATAACAATGATTTGAGCGATTTTATAAGAAACAGATTTTTTTTTTGATCTCCGTTTGTTATCCAATCGGTTGATTTAGACAGATCGAATATTTCGGCTTTCCTTAACCTATAAACCAAATTTCAACTTTCAATATGACGAATTTGATTTAACCAATGCTTATTGAAGATGTTTTTAGACATTTTATACAAGTTTTATTTTTATCTAGAAAACTATTAGAAATAGATAGAGGTTATAGTCATAGAAAAATTATGAGATATGAAAGTGGTTTCGAAAATATTTCATCTAAAGTATTTGATTAAAAGTAACAAAGTGTATTCTATTTAGAGTAACAAAGATGGTACCACGTTTAGTATGAAGCGGCAACACCGCAATGTTGAAAATAATTGAGACAGATGGAGCAGGTACCTTTATGGAAAAAAAAAAGTTATTAAAAAAATTCTATCACCGGTTGTCCATAAACGTCTAACGTGCCATGACCATGAATCATCCTGTATATATGAGTTTTCTCTTTGACTTTTGTCAATTTTTTGTCCCATAACCCAAATTTTTGAACATGAAAAATTCTAAAATATTTTCTTCTAATATTAAGTATGCTGAAGAAACTCTGCATAACCTTTTTTTGCAATAACTCAACAATAAAATAATTTCCTATTTGTTGTGAACTTTTTGCCACACCTTGTATTGTATAAATCTGTTGTTATAAAGAAAGTATTTTTTTTTGTAAATTTTAACTTTTTAATAAAACATTTTGGTCCTACCTGTTCTATGGAAATTCGGTGTATCTTTTGAAGAAAACTGTAAACCCCTTCTTTCGTCGTGAACATATTGTCGCTTAATTTTCCTTATTTCCGCAGAATCATACAGGTTTCCCTCATCAGAAAAATGCGTGACACTTCGTTCTTTAAGTATATGATCCAGCTTCGTCCCGGTCTCATCCATAGCTTTATTAGCTTTTCGATCAAACTGAGCTTTTAAGTTCTTGTACAAGTTTTCTTTTTCCTCCAACGCTTCATTAAGCTTTTCTATAGTTGACTCCAATGAAGCACGTTCGGTATTTTTCGATTCTAGCATATCCCTTTCTTTCCTTAAACTGTTAATTTCGGTGTCCCTGCGAGCGAGTGCAGATTTCATCGCAAGGTTCTCTTCAACAATCCGATTTTGTTGTTGACGCATTTCATTTATTTTATGTTCAAGCTGTGACTTCTCGATATTTATATCTAAAAATTAGTTCAGTGAATTAATTTAACAGCTGTTTAGATTATATAAATTATAGTGGTCTGCAAGAAAATCGACCCTGGCACCCGGTTCTTGCCGATTCTTAACAAGAGAACAACTCTCTACGCCTATGACACTACGCTGATCTTTGATGCAGAGAATGCAGAATTAATGAGTTAAAATTAAAAGAACTTGTGATATATTGGTGGAATATTTTTGTTCAATGGGTTTATCGACGAATACATCTAAAATGCAGTGTGTAGCTTTTGGCAACAGAGTAGAGAATGCGCTTGTACTTCAATATATAAAAATGATGAAATTATTACAACTAAGAACGTTACTCGTGCTTGGTGTTGTCATTGACAGCAGATTGGATTGTAAAGCGCATGTTGAAAATGTTGCAAAGGAGTATCGAGACATAGCTTTCCTTTGAGCATTGTCTCGGAGAGGGTAGGCGAAGAAGCTGCATTGACAGCTTATTATGCTTTTGTGCAATCTAAAATGAGATATGGCTTGGTAATTTGGGGAAATTATACTGAGATAGGTAGAATCAAAAAAAAAATCTGCTACAAAAAAGATGTATTCGAAATATATTTAGGATGAGCCCTTTAGAAAGCTGTAAGGTAAAATATCTCCCCAGATGATATTATGTAAAATTTGTATTAGACTCTTTTGAAGAGGTCTTAAAGTTGTAGTTTTGTCTAGAATCACGTTTTATTTAGAATCGGTATTTAAAAGTTATTTACAAAAATCTACTTTATAATTAGTAAAATTTATAATACTGCCTAGAATTAAAATACCAGCAAAAATATGATTTTGTCATTACCAAATTTGATGTCACATTTTGTTTACAACATAAGTCTTTTATCTATTAGTCTAAGAGCTAGCAACGTTTTCGAGAAAGTATTTTAAGACATCTGGCTCTTTGATATATCTTTTACTATGCTCTCTGCAACAGCATGCGGCCCGTCTGGCTGCCAATACCCGTTGCGTTCACTACTGCGCATCGGAAGATATACCGACCTGGTCATTTGATTACTGTGTATAGGATTTTAACGTGTAAGACAGAGAATAATATAAATGAGCGGTTGACAGACAGAGAGACAGCATCAAAAGGGGCCGGCGAGGAGCCGGTGCGACCGATACAGTGTTGCCGGTTTTTACGGGCGTGGGCAAGGTAAAGCATAAGCATGGTGGGAGAACGCATTGAGAGGGGCGGTGCTTTATGTTAAGGTTCGTATTCACTATCCGAAAGAACAAAGGAATGAAATTCGGTATATTTGGACAGCAAACCGAATGCATGCGGCCGTTCGCCATTAGGTTCGCTCCATCATCCGTTTCCAGTCGGTATATCAGAGACGTTCGCAAACGAATGAAAATTATAGAACCGCGCGAACAAGACTGGACGTTCGCTCGTTGGATAGTAGCATTCGTTCGTTCGGATAGTGAATACGCACCTTTATGTAGATGAAAGGGTGGGGAAAGGAAATAGATCACCTGAGATCCAAACTATTTTTGCATCATTCTTTTCGCCTAGCTGTTTCGGTATGTACGTTAAGTGTTTCAAAAATGGCTATTTATACGACCGAAGAGAAGGTGCATATCGTTAAATGGTTTTACATTTCGTCTAGTGTGGAAGAGGTCATTGGGCGTTTTGTGTTCACCTTTCAAGATCGCCCTGTGCCTTGTGCCACAACTGTACGCAACATTGTCCATAAATTTGAGCAAACAGGCTGCATTGCGGCGTGCAGAAATTGTGACAATAAGGAAGGCGCAGAAAAGGTGATTCCCGACAAGGAAATTAATATTTGTGCCGCGGTCGAAACAAGCGAACCTTGTTCAAGCCGAAATATAGCCGAACAAGTTGGTTGCAATGCTCGAACGGTGCGCAGGGTTTTAAAAAAGCATGGATATAAGTCCTACAAAATCAGTACCACGCAAGAAATTTTTCCCGCAGATTGTAACAGACGTCTGGAGTTTTGCGAGGCTGTAAGAGAAAGAGCCGATCGGAATAATTTATTTTTGGAAAATATATTATTCTTAGATGAAAACTCGTTTCCCTTACATGGCTACCACAATCCTTCGATAGTACGTTATTGGTCTCGAGAAAATAAGCACCTTAGTATGGCACTGCGGACACAATATCCACAAAAAATAAATGTTTGGGCTGGCATGCTGCAAAATCCTATCATTGGGCCTTTTTTTATTGATTGTATGTTAACAGCTGCCAAATATTTGGATATGCTACAAAACGAAATTGTACCAGCAGTTCGAAATTTGCCAATCAATTTTGAGGAAGTGTGGTTTCAGCAGGATGGCTGTCCTGCGCATAACGCGCGGAACGTAAATCTGTTCCTTCAAACCACATTTCCCAATCGGCTAATTTCCACACAAGGCACAATTAATTGGCCACCACGCTCTCCTGAATTGTCGCCCAATGACTTCTTTCTGTGGGGATATGTAAAAAATTCCATTTATGGCCATAACCATGACGACCCATGAATATTGACGAGCTGCGATTAAAAATCGTTCAGTCGTTAGAAAATATCCCCGCTGTTATGTTAGCTAAAGTTAGGTCAGAGTTTTATAACCGTCTTGGCTATTGCGAAGCACAACAGGGAGGTATTTTTGAACCTTTGATTTAATTTTTTATAATTATTTTGCTAATTGTCCTTTTTTAAAGTTGATTTTTAGTCATTTTTTTAATGCTTGTTTTAACTTATGCTGAAACAGCAACAAAAACATGAGCAGTATAGATACAACCGGACGTTTAATTATTTTTATTGTTAAAAGATTAAACGTCTCGAGATGTATGGATAACCTTCAAAATCGTAAATATATTGTAGAATGATGTACACCCAACCCCTTTCAAATCCGACTGATTTGATAAATGTGTCAAAGTATGTCTACCGTTCTAGGACTTCGATACTGTCAGTGTTGCCAGATGAAGTTTTGAAAATTTCCTGAAGCCTGGTTGGCACGGTCAATCTACCAACAAAAATATTCTTTTTAAAATATTTATCTGATGATACTTTTAGAAATGCCAAGTTTGAGAAAACAAATTAAATACACACACTAAATTGTGTCCAAAAATATGCTTTCTAAAAATGTATTTCCTGGATAGAAACCTTAATGTTAGGGAATATTTCCTAGACCTGGCATCTACGGCCATATTCTTTCCCACCACTTGATTTGTCTTAGCTGATTGGTCTCACCCCGCCTCTCGAAATGTGGAAGCCATGCATATCTCTTCGCACGTGTCGCCACCAGACCAAACCAAACTCTTGAGTCATAGGCGTACTAATATTTTATTTTCATTTAGATTTAGTATTACAGCCAATTTTAGTTTAAAAGTTTTGGTTATGAATTCTGTAAAATTTAATTTATTAGAATTTTAATAATAATCTTTTTATGACAGCTGACAATGTTTAAGATGCGAACAGTGGAACAACGCCTTCACCACGCTGCTTCTTAAACCCCATACATACTCAATATAAAAAAAACTCATTGACATGATCAAAAAGTTTTATGATCAAGCGGGTTTTGTATCATATATAAAAACAGATAAACAATTTTTATGTAAAACGACCTTTAAAATTAACATTATAAACATTATATAACTGTTAAGTGGCATCGTATTTATGAATCTAATTGTGCTACACTTTAAGGGGTGTGAAATAAATTACTTATTTATAATAATACTGAATTTATGCGGGGTGGTATAACTAGTGTTATAACGGTTGTAGCTATAGTATTACGGGCAACCAACGGTCCAGCTACGTCGAAACACCGGTTCCCATTAGAACACCGAAGTTAAGCGACGTAAGGCGATACTAGTGGATAGACGGGTGACCAGTTCGAAACTCTGTATCGTGCTGTTGTCCAATAAAGGCAGAAGTGTAAAATATATTGACACACACTGCTCATTCACGCCGGTTCGAGGCCGGATGAGATCGCTGTTCGGATTCCGCGTAAACAAAGTAGGCCCCGTCCAAATTAGCCCTGGCAGCAAGAAGGAGACGTTAACTTCTTTACTTTATTATTATTACTTTATTATTATAGTATTACATTATAACATTATCATGTCATAATATTATGAAAGAATATTTCCTACTACCAATTTTTTTAATATTGGTACAGCAAACTTATCAGTATAAAGTTTTACTTATCTTTATCCTTTTTATTGCTATTTATAATTCTGAATACGAGGATAAGAAATTTTAGTTTTCAGTACACCTATGACCGAAAGCGAACGTCTACCTCCCGCTTCATCAGCGGCCATAATTGGATGGAATCAGGGATGAGTAAATATAAAGGACCCTAAAATTAATAAATTTTGCTCGTCTGCTGCAACACGTAAGAAATATTTATTGATGGATCAGTATGACAGAGAAGTAATAAAAAGGCCGTTTTTATGAATAACAAAATGGTATTTGAACATCATATTCTAAGAATTGACAATAGATTAATTTATCAGCTATCCGCAGAAAATTGACAACAATAATAAAATCATGACACATGGCAATTAATATAATTCCAAATTAAAAATCGATAAGAGTTCTCATTCATAATAGTAATATAGATATATTTCAAAGAACTTTACTTGAAATTAACTTTTTTAATTTTGTACTAGTTTATAGCACTTGGTGGTATAACTTAACAAAATAATATCAATCATTAAATAAAGCATAAACGAACCAATAAATAAACAAAAAGGTTAATTTATTTAATAAAACGTACAACGTACGGCTTTGTATGCCGATTGTCGTGTGTATGAAGAATAAAGTCAACGTTTGTTCAGTACAATACGATATACTGAAAGAGAAAAGACTATAAAATACGGGAGAAAAATGAGAAATTTATTACCTATCCACTTAATCCGGATCGGTCGACAATAGAATTTGTGATATTTACAACATTATGTAATTAATTGATTATCGGTCCTATTATGTAACTGAGGATGTACGTAACTACGTAATAGAGCATATTTTTTGGTTAGTTTATTTAATGAAGCGTACAGACGGCTTTGGTTGCTGATTCTCGTGTGTCAACGTGTTCAGTACAATACGATATATTGAGAGAGATGCTGATGCTCTATTACGTAGACACGTACATCCCTAGTTGCATAATAAGACAAATAATCTATTAATTCCAAAACGTACTAAAAGCGCAAATTCTGTTGTCGAACAATGTAATCAGTATGATTACAGATTAAATAATTATGGAGGTGCATATGAAACATTAAACGATTCATCATTGTGTTAAGTTATACCACGTAATTTAACAAAAAGATCAATCATTTAATGTCTCACTTCACACTGGCTCACTCCATTCTTATTTAATACTGATTAGAATGGTCGACAATAGAATTTGCACTATTTACTACGTAATACAGCATATTTTTTGGTTAGTTTATTTAATGATATAACCGATAATGTACACACGGCTTTGGGTGCCGATTGTCGTGCACAGAGTCTATAGACTCTGTGATTGTATAAATGAACAAAGAGAAAAGAGCAAGAATTTTCCCAAGCGTAAGTTGAGCTCCGGATTAAGTGGATAGGTAATAATTTTCTCTCCCCGACTTACAAGATTGCCATAGCGATTCACTTCTAGACATGTAGGTAAATGATGACTAAAATAAACGACCCAAGATTTTCTCTTGCCGACCAGTATATTATCGTAGTCTTAAAGAAATTAGAATAAAATAAACTATGTTAAAAATGTTCATGTATACTACTGAAATGAAGATAATATATCTAAGCTAAATGTAATCTCTTACAGTTGTAGTAAAATGAGTAACTAATTGTCGAAAATACAGATCCAACCCTAGATGCCACATTTTTTTGAAACGTCTACTTATGCGGTTTGAAATTTTGATGCAAAATCTGGCAATACCGCTCAGAAGAAATGTACCCACCCATACCCACCCAACTTTTTTCTCTTTTTAATACATTTGATTTGCCATTAAGCTGCCTACATCACTGTCTTACACGTTAAAATCCTATACACAGAGTTGACCTGTCCCGATGTGTATATATTCTATATTTTTTATTAATTTAGTGCTATAAGTTCTAGTATTGAATATAAATCGAACATGTCTCCATAGCGCAGTGCGTAGAGTTTCAGACCACGAACCGATGATTCAGAGTTCGAATCCGGGTCAGGTCAAAGACTTTTTTATTTTATTTTCGTTTATATTCTGATAGTAAAGTATTAAATAATTCTGGTAATAAAATAAAAACAAATATTTAATACTTTACTATCACAATATAAACGAAAATAAAATAAAAAAGTATTTGCCCCGACCCGGATGCGAACTCGTCGGTTCGTGGTCTGAAACTCTACGCACTGCGCTATGGAGACATGTTCGATTTATATTCAATACTAGAATTTAAAGGACTAATAAAAATATAGGATCATCTTTCAATGCGCAGTAGGGAACGCAACGTTTACCGGCAGCCAGACGGGCCGCATGCTGTTCTAGAGAGCATAGTAAAAGAGCCAGACGTCTTAAACTACTTGTTTTTCCGACGTTGCTAGCTCTTGTACTATATGGTCTATCTTTGGTTTACAACAATTTGTGCAGTTTTTAAAGGGTGGTTAATTTTTTTTCTGAATTAGAATGAACATCTACAAAAAAAATAGTTGAACTGAGAGGAGTATTTACGGTGTATGACTTGTTTGCTGTTACGCTGTGTCGCTCATACCACATATATCCACAATAATTTAAGAAATAATCGAAATAAAGTAATAATAATATAGTAAATTAACTATAGTAATTAATAAAATATTTACATAATTCCCCATTCACAGCCAAAAAATTACCCCATGATGTTAAAGTTCGCGCCTCGCGTTACAAAGCTGTTGAGTTTAATATGTCCATAAGACGGGTTTTGAATGTGCTCCACACCTCCACAGGAAGAAATCGTTTGGTGAGATCCTGGGGTTTCCTCCTACTGTATCCCCAATAGACGGGAATCAATGTTTTCCTTTTCTTCAACATGAAGAAGAAAATTGAAGTCATTGTTGTTTTCTTCCTGTTCTATATCTTTCTGCTTTAAACAAAATGTGACATTGAATTTGATAATGACAAATCACATTTTTGCTGGTTTTTTAATTGTATAGCTTTCTGTGGGCCGGATTATAAATTTTACGAATTTGAAGGTAGATTTTTGGAAATAACTTTTAAGTGCAGATTCCAAACGAAAAGAAATTCTAGAGAAAAGTACAACTTTAACGCCTCTTCAAAAAAGTCTAATACAACTTTTGCATAAAATTACCTGGGGAGATAATATTTGATCTTTCCAAAATTTACATGGGATTTCCTATGCCCCGTGTTCCGATGCACCACAAGGTATAGTGATTATGATTTCCGGCACTGGAGTCGTTTGTCGGAACCGGGAATTTCGGTACCACGCCCCTAAGGAACCGGGATTTCCCGTTTTTTTCGGTACTTTCGGTACTGGCTAATTTTTTGTTCAATGATGGCACATTTCGTCAATCAGCAAGCAAGAGGTGGTTTTCAAAAATAAAATCGATAGAAATATGTGTTTTTTAACCGAAAGAACCGAGAATTTTTATTTCTAGTCCCGGTTCTTTGATGGCTCAAAAGAACCATGAAATTCATGATACTTTCGAGACCGGGATTTCCCGGTTCTGAAGCCTAATCAACACAAATGAACACAAGTGAAGGAAAAACGAAAAAAATATAGGAAACTTAAAATTTACACCAAACAACATAAACCAACTTACTTATAACTAAATTTGAAAAAAAAATTCAATTAAAAATGCAAATGCCTAATAACATAAAATATAACTAATATATTGGGCAACATTATACTTAATAATAAAATAACATATCTAAACATCAATAATTGTTAATAAACATTATAGGAACTTCAAAGTAAGAACAATAAGAGACAACATAACTATTTATTTAGAAGAGTTTATTTTCGACCGCTATAAATAATCTATGAACTTTCGCATGTAACAAAAAATATTTTTTTAATTACATTTTATTAATGAGTAAAAAAAATTCGGTACCGAAAGTACCAAAAGAACCGGAAATTTTTATTTCCAGTCCCGGTTCTTTGATGACTCAAAAGAACCGGGAATTCCCGGTACTTCCCGGTTCTGAACCCTAATAGTGATTTAATTAAAAACCCAAAATTATTACCTGAAAGATTATGTAATTTCTGATATGTTTCGCTCAGCTCCTGTTCATGTACCCTTAACATATTTAACATTTCTTCATTTTCCCCATCCAAAAATGTATTTCTTTCTTTAAGCATCTTTATTTCATTATCAACAGCATCTTTTTCTTCGTTAATTTTATCTAATTTCAACCGCAAAGTGTTACAGGAACTACACGAGCTTTCTTGCATGTCCGGTAAACTTTCGTTTTTCAAACTTGCCAATTGGTTATTCTGCGTTTGCTTTTTAACTGGTGTTAATTCGTCAGAAAATACAGAATCTATATTGAAAAATGTAGTTACAGAAATTACAGGGTGTGACAATAAGTTCGCAACAAACGAAAACTTTTTTTTTATTATTGAATTATCGAAAAGTTGATCGTTAAATAAAATTTTTAAATCTGTTAGTCAAATTGTCTAATATTCATCGATATTGGCTAACGACAAATTGTCTAGCATTCATAAAATATCTGAGAAAATGTGTTAATTTTTGCATATAGATGCCCTCTAGCGGACAAACGAAGCACTTTTGTAAAGAGGTAAATTGTGTCCAATGAACTTATTTTTATTCCAAAAATATGTAGTAGCTCTATGTCCACGGAATATTGGGACACCCTGTATAAAGAGAATTTTTGTAATTTCCCATGACAGTTATTGCTGAAAATGTGAAGAGGACTCTTTATGATATTGGGTATGCTGAAGAAATTCCTCAATAACACAAGATTAAAAAAAAATCCCATTTATTGCGAACTTTTTGGCACAGTCTGCATATCAATTTCAAGTATGAAATAAATTACCTGTTTCACTATTATCTACCAATGAAAATTTTAAACCTCTACATTGATCGTGAATTGATTGTCTTTTAATTCTTCTAAGTTCATTAGGCGAAAGTTGCTTTCCTTCATCGGAAAGACGAGTAACGTGTTTTTCCTTAAGAATATTCTCAGAATTATTTATTTTCAACCCGTCATTGGACCCATTATGCTTTTCCTGCAATTCAGTTTGCAGATCTTCGGAAACGTCCATTTTCTGTTCCAATTTCTTTTGATTATTCTCTATAGTACATAGTAGTGATTTGTTTTCCTTATTTTTAATTTCTAAAGTATTTTCTAATTTTTTTATCTCAGCTTCCATACTGACAATTTTGTTCTTAAACGAATTTGTTTCTTCATATTTACATTTTAAGATAGAAATCTCAGCTAAGTGATTAGATATTTCTTTCTTGAGCTTTAGGTTCAATTTCTGTTCATTATTGTATGCAGTTGACATTGATGTTAAATCTTCTTTTAGACTAGTTATTGTCTTATCCATCTCTTTTACAGTATTATTAAATTCAGCGGTAAGTTTTTCAATCTCCCCTCTTAAGTGTAATGTTTCCATCTGTGCATTTTTATTTTGTAGAATGATTTCCTCCAATTTAGTATTTTCATTTTTTAGTTTTGATAAATATACAGTTTCTTTCGCAATACTTTCATCAGTTAATTTTAAAACTTCTTTATTCAACATGTCAATTTGTTCATCTTTTAATCTGATGGTTTTCCTCAAACTATCTCTTTCTTCATCAGTCAAGAGTACATTTGTCTTCAATTCTCCATTAGCTACTTTTAATCTTTGGCACTCTGAATTTATTACAGTGATATCTTCATACAGTGTACTGATCTCATTTTCTTTTTCTTTTAGTTCTTGCTGATATAGCTCAATGGTTTCTTTTAGTTTTTTAGTCTCTACCTCTAATGAAGAATGTTTTGATGTTTCTAACTGCACTTTTTCATCCAGCTTCAGTATATTTTCGCTTAATTTGCGAATTTCATCTTTTAATTGCTTGTTGGTTTTCTCAAGTTTAATGCTGTCCTCTTTAGAGCTTGCCAAGATTGTTTTTAATTCACTGTTTTCATTATCAATGATATTTATTTTCTCAGTCAACTCTGATAACTGAATCTGCATATGATCATTAGAAGTTTTCAAACTGTTTACTAATGATAAGGCACTAGTGAGTTCTATTTCTTTTTGTTCGTATTGCTCATTCATAGAATAATACTGCTTTTTGAAAGCAGTAAGTTCTTGTACAGACATACTATGTTTTTTTCGAAGATCTTGAAGTTCCAAGATATTTTTTTGCAACATATTATCTAAATCTTTAAACTTCTTTAAAGTTTGATTTCGGTCCTCTTCCAAATCTTTGTTCAGTTGTTGAATAGATTCTTTTTGTGCTGTCAGGCTCTGCAAGGATTTAGTTAAAGAATCGTTTTCAATTAAAATATGTTCAATTTTTTGTTGGTTCGACTCTAGATCTCTATTTCTGTTTTTTAAGATGGTTAATTCAACCTGAAATTCTGACATTTCTCCTCTTAATCCCAAATTTAGTATACTCTCCTTATTTAGATCAGAAGTTACTAAAGCTAAAGAATCTTTAAGTTCTGAATTTTCTTTTTGTAGCATAATAATTCTTGAACTACTGCAATCAGAAGTATCCTGTTCATCATTTCTGTTGGTGCTATTAATTAGTTTCTTTAATTCTTCATGTTCAGTATTTTTCAGTAGAATACATTCTTCAAGTTTTTCAATATCTGTTGTTAAATGCTTTTTTGCAATTTCCAAATTTTTGTTTAGTTCCTGTATTTCCGTATAATCTTTCTGTAGAATATTTAATTCATTATTTTTAAGTAGAATGCATTCTTCGAGTTTTTTATTTTCCGCTGTTAACTGATCCTTAGCAAGTTCTAAATTTTTGTTTAGATCTTGTATTTCTGTGTAATCTTTCTGTAGAATATTTAGTTCATTATTTTTAAGTAGAATATCTTCTTCAAGTTTTTTATTGTCTGCTGTTAACTGATTCTTAGCAAGTTCTAATTTTTTGTTTAGTTCTTGTATTTCTGTATAATCTTTCTGTAGGATATTTAGTTCATTATTTTTAAGTGGAATGCATTCTTCGAGTTTTTTATTTTCTGCTGTCAACTGATCCTTTGCAAGTTCTAAATTTTTATTTAGTTCTAGTATTTCGGTGTAATCTTTCTGTGGGACATTTAGTTCATTATTTTTAAGTAGAATACATTCTTCAAGTTTTTTATTGTCTGTTGTTAACTGATCCTTAGCAAGTTCTAGATTTATGTTTAGTTCTTGTATTTCTGCATAATCTTTCTGTAGGATAGCTAGTTCATTATTTTTCAGTAGAATGCATTCTTTGAGTTTTTTATTTTCTGCTGTTAACTGATCCTTTGCATGTTCTAAATTTTTGTTTAGTTCTTGTATTTCTGTATAATCTTTCTGTAAGATATTTAGTTCATTATTTTTAAGTAGAATACATTCTTCAAGTTTTTTATTGTCTGTTGTCCACTGGTCCTTTGCAAGCTCCAAATTCTTGCATAGTTCTTGTATTTCTATATTATTTCTCTGTAGAATATTTAATTCTGCATCTTTAGTTTGAATATATTCTTCAAGCTTCTTATTTTCTTCTGATAAATGAATTTTTACTGCCTCCAAATCTTTGTTTAATTGTTGCATTTGCATACTATCTTGCTGTATAATTTCTAAAGTACTTTGAGTATTTTGTTGGTTGTGGATCTGACTATTTAGTTCAGATATCTGACTTAGTAAGGTTTTAGTCTTTTCTTCATAGCTATTACAGTCAAAAATTGCAGATGTAAGTGAATTTTTCGACTTTAAGTTTTCTTCTGTTAAAATCTTTAACCTGCTATTTAAATCTAGTAATTTCTGCTCGTACGTGCTTTGAACAGCAACTAGTTCATTTTGAAGATTTGATAATTCTTTCTTGTAATTAAATTCCATGTTTTCAAAGCCCATAGATGCTTTCTTGTACTCATTCAACTCTTCATTTAATGTATCAATTTCTTTTGTTCTAGAATCATTTGATAATTTTGCTTCCAATATATCATTTGATAAAGTTGTATTTTCAGATTTCAGCAGATCGCATTGTTCTTGAATTTTAATTTTCTCTGTTAGAATATTTTCTAGAGACTTTACCAAGTTATCACATTCTACTGTTTTTTCACTGTAACTTTTTTTAAGAGTTTTAAGTTCCATAGAGTCTTCTTTTAAAGAGGAAATATCAGAGAGAAAATCTGAAACCTTTTTTTGCAGTTCCAAGTTTAAAATTTCTTGTTCATGAAGGTTTCTTGTGGATGAGGAAATAGTTTCCTTCATTTCATCATTGTCTTTTTGTAAATCTGCAATTTTTGACTGATAAATTTTATTTTGCACCTTAAGTTCATCTTCCATACTTTTATTTGCATTGATAATATCTAACTTGGTTTGCAAAGTAATATTCTCTGTTTTAAAATTTTCTACTTCTTGTTCTAATTTTAAATGTTGTTCTTCAATATAACTTCTTTCATTAACCATCTGAGAATATTTAATTTTCAGTTCTATTAACTCATCTTCGAATGATGTTGCGGTTTGAGCTTCAGTCTTAACAACTTGTCTTAGATCAGTTATTTCCCTTTGGGCTTCTTCAAACTTTCTAGCCTTTTCTTTTAAATCATCTAATTGCATCTCTAATTCTTGTGTTGCTAATTTATCAATTTTATTTGTTTCAATTTCACTCTCTAACTCACTTATTTTTTGAGAATAATGTATAGCTTGTTGTTCAAGTTTGTCATTTTCAATTTGTAAATTAGTAATTTTTTTTTCTAGTGCAGAATATTTTGCAACAACAGAATCAAATTTATCTTGTTTATTAAGACTTTCATTTAGCTGTTGTAATTCTGATAATTTATTATGCATTTCTTCTTTATAACTGCTTAATTTTTGTAGTTTATTGTTTAATATGTCTAGTTCAGCTTCTTTTGTATCTTGCTCTTTTTTTATTGTTAACTTGAGATTTGTCATTAAAGAATCTTTTTCTATTAGATCTTTTTCAAGTAGATGTATTTTATCATCTAATTCAAGTACCTTATTTGTTCTTTCTTCTAGCTGGTATTTTAGTTTATCAATTTCTTCAAGAAGTGTTAGATTTTCATTGATTAAAACGCTATTTTCTATTAAAGGCTTATTAATATCGATATTATAGGCTATATTTGTTTTCTCACTTTCTTCTTCAGGAGTTTGATTGTCTAAAATTTCTTTCAGCCATTCTCCAACTTCAACTTCATCTTTAGAAGTAGTTAACATTTCTGTTTGATCTTCTTCAACAATAGTGTGTAGAGACTTTCGCGGCTTGCCTTTAGAAGAGTCTCCTTCTAAAACAGCCTTAAGAAAAATTAAATTGTCATAGACATCTCGATTCACTTCCATTGTATTTATTTTATATTCTCTTTCTTTTATTATATGCTGGTTCAATGAAATATTTTCATTAGTTAGCCTTTCTACTAAGGCTTTTAGTTCTTTGAGTTCATTATTTTGGCCTAAAAATTTTTTTTCATAATTGGTATATGATTTTAAACTTTCGTAGGATTGTTCTAAGAGTTCCTTCTGAAATCTTAATGTTTTTGATGGAGTTGTTGGTTGCATATCTATCTGTTGAGTATTATTATCTTCACTAATATCACAAGTTAATTTTACTGATTTTCTTGTGGTCTGTTCAGCAAAAACATCCTCATCACTATTTTCTTCTATACTATAAGTCTCTTGAGGTATAAAAAGTTTGTTTTTTAAACTTGGCTTATAGTGACCCATAGTATGTCTTCTGTGGTGAGTCTTGCTAAGTTTAAAATCTATGTTAGAATTTAAAGAGAATAGTTCAATACCGTGTATCTTATCTTTTAAAGCATTTATTGTTATCTCTTTTCGCTCAATTTGTTCTTTGTAGTCTTGGCACATACGTGCATACTGTTTTATTTGATCTTTATCAGTAACTTTTTCATTTATAATTGGTTGATTTTTAACATATTTAGCTCTTTGTGCAAATTCCAAAGTAGACTTTGTTTCATCAAGCGCGGCTAATGTAATAGTACAAATAATAAGTGTCTTTGAATTTCCTCCTAAAGAATGTTGTAAAAGTCTAGTTAACTTTGAATCCCGGTAATTTATAAATTGTTCATTTTCGCTTAATCTGCGAATAACAAGACCCAGAGTTGTTAAAGATTTATTGATTAAAACACCTTCAGCTTGTCTTTCTCCCTTAAGATTCATTTGACCTACTCTTTCAGAGCCAGCAAGATCAACTAAACTTAAAAATGATTCTGTATAAGATCCCTCAGAATCTATGTCTTGAGATTGAATTATCTTAAAAATAAATATATAAGGTACATATTACAGAGAAACTTAGGGTAAAAATTTATATTTACCAGTTTAAATATTGTGTGAGATCTACTAGACCTTTCATTCATATCAGTGCAGCCAATTTTGCGAATCTTCATACCTTTTTTCATTAATGCAAACAACTCATCCTTCTTTCTTATCACTTCTTCCCTAACAGCAACATGAACTCCCTGGTTAAAATCTTCTCTTATTTTAATATCTTTCTTCTGAGCATCCAACAAGTCATTTATTTTTTCATTATATATTTCTAGGTAAGAACATCTATAATTAAAAGTAGTAAAGTGCAATTACTCTGTTAAATATAAGGTATTTACCTTAACAAAAACTTTTTTGATGAATTTTCTTCAACTTGTTTAAATATATCCTCAATAGCATAGGTAATAATACCAGGGTTTCGATTGTCACCTAACATTGTGTGAGTTTTCCCAGAAGAAGTTTGTCCATAGGCAAATATTGTTGAGTTAATGCCTTGAAGGCAGGAACTTACTAATGGAAAAACTACACTATCATAAACATCTTTATTTGTTTTATTCTCATCAAATATATGATCTAAAAAAATACAGAAAATTAAGCATAACTACTATCAGGGTCATCGCCAGACTTTTGGCTGACCAGTGCAGATTTTTAAATTGCCACCCTTATTTCTGTTGGTAATGAAAAATTGACCAAGTTAAAAAAATTGTTTATTATAAAATAGAAAATGGTTTAAAGATGTATTTTTCTCCACCATTTCAAATATAAAATAGAACATTGCATTCTATGATATAAAAAACTTAATTATATCCAACTTTGTATTTTTGTAATTATTGTATTTAGGGTCCAAAATCGATGTATATTTTGTTTGAAAATCATGTATGTTTATACATTATTTTCGGTTTTTAATTGTTATTACAAAACAGAAAATAATGTCTAAACATTATTTTCAGTTTTATTCATCTTATTCAGCTGCATAGTACAATGTTAGATCTTATAAAAAATGTATTCGTTAAATATCGAATGTGGGACTATTTAGATCTTATCCAAATTTTTTTTTAGAACTACCTATCAGTGCTTAACAAAATTAAAAATGGTAAAATCTATATTGGTTTATGCTATAAAGTAAAAGGTATTCCATTTAAAAAAGACGGCACTGACTACTATTGTACTTCACCAAACCTTACCAAAACTATAACAATTTTGTGCATAATCTACTTGTAAAACGCTGTTTTCTTTAACAATCCATGTAGTTTCTGTTTTCTCCTTTAATTCTCTCTCTATTAAAGGGCGAACTTTAACAGCAATCTGTATGTTTGTTGAACTCATTGTTAATTCCAAAGTTGCATATGAAAGATAAAACCGAATCTACAAAATTTATTACATCTTGATACAAATAGACTAAAACACTACTCATTAAACTAAATTTTCTCTCAAGTTAATAAAATATTATACACTGACACTTACTTAATCGAGACCAGACAATGAGACTTAAAAACAATTATAAGAAAAAACCAAAAATGTAAAAAAACAACAAAAAATTTAAAACCAAGAACTTTGTTTTTAAACTTAACCTCATCCTAACCTATCCTATCACCTCCAGGGATTTGAAAAACACCAATCAGAATCAAGTTCATATGTCAGTAATAAAAATTATTTGTTCTATTTGTTCCGTTATAAACATATAAACGAACCTTGAAACGAACTTTTCCATTACGAGTACACCACAGAACAACAGTCCAGCTACGACCAGAGATATGGACTAATTAAAGTCTATATCTCTGGCTACGACAAAGGCAAACAAAGGTAAACTCTATCTTGTTGTTTCATGGTAAGGGTGTAAACCGTAAAATCTGTCTATTTGGCAGTGGAAGCCCTTTATTTATATTTCCCTTTTATGGTGTCTTTTGACCATATTGAGGATTATCAAGATAGTAGATCATATATCAAAATTATATATGATCTACATTTTTCTCTATTTTTAATTTATAAAAGAATCTTTTTATTAAAAGTGATTCAAAAAAGGATTCAAAGATAAAAGAAAGAGCTTTCGACCACAGATTACACAAATAAATTCTTCACTTTATATGTGTCCACAGAAAATATCTAACAAAAGTTCTTCTTTGGTGTCTTCTTTACATTTTACCTCTAATATTCTGTGGGCATTCTTTGGGCCAAAGCGCAGGTCATATAGTTCTGGCAGCTTAGGCCGTAAAATTAATCAAGAAAGGAAGAAAATGGCTTAAGCTGCCAAGAGTATGTGGCCGAATTTCCTCTCCTCTGCTTTTTTCCGTTCTATGGTCTCTCGAATCTAATATTTTGTTTTCTATGGTCTAATAATTTGAGGTTTGAGACATAAAATAATTAACTAGAAAGAAGTGTCAACTCTGTGTTAAATCGTGGAAACACGATACGCCACCGAAAGCCTTCGTTGTCGTCTGGAGAACTAACTTTCCAATTGACAGGTTGACATGATAAGGACATGATGGCTTAATTTTCATTTCCGTTTCCGGTTATTCAATGGCGGGCCCTCTTTCAGTTCAAATGTATTTTGTATTTTTTTCTTTTCATAAATAAAACCAAAAAATAATTTATTCACATATATTTATTTGAAATATGGAACAACGTGACTAAATAAATATAAAAATATAGAGGATTGTATTGTTTCAATACCAATTAGTTAATTATATGCACTTTTAACGTAAATTAGTTAAGGTATAAGCATGACTTACAGTAATTTGTAAATAAACACACGCATTCGCAAACTTCAAGGACAGAAAACGGACACAGGAACATGAAAACGGGAGCCTTATACAAAAACCTGAAAACAGAAAAACAATTTTTTTATACAAAAATTAACAATGTAAAAATATCAATAGGTATAAAATATAAATAAACTGTTTAAAAAAAGCGTCCATTATTCCCAAAGAACCTGGCTTATAAATCAAAAAGATGCAAAAAGAGACTTTTAGTCGGATAACATAATCAGATTATCAGTCCGATTTATTGCTTTATTGACAATAAATCGCACATACTGGAGATAACTAATGTTGGCTATAGTTAAAAATGATCTTACCTTGCTGTAAATTGTTTCCATTTTCAAAAAAATCGCCGATCAAAGAGATTATAACACCATTTTCTTGCATCTAAAAAATGTAAAAACAGTGTTTATTTACTACCTATTTTTGATATACATGGGACATACCTACTACTGCAGAAACGTCATTTTCTCCAGGATTCTTTATGTAATATATATTTTATATACTTTATTACCTTTATATTTATAAATTTCAGCCGAAATATTAAATTGAACTTCCAAAACGAAACTAAACGGAATGAATTAAAATGGCGTCGAATATTTTCGAATTTGTTCTAGAACAAATCTGAAGTTGTCTCTGAAACTGAAATCTGTCCAGTGCCTTCTATTATAAGATCAGCCTACGGGCGAGATTTATGACGTCACGCTAGTTAGATATAACGGATTAATAAATATGTTGTAGAATACATGGAAAACATAATTATTCCTCAGATTTTTGGTTTGTATTTTAAAAATGATATAGTTTAAATGAAATATACATAATATACAGTTAATAACTACAACATATATACCTATTTATAGTAATAAATACTTTGGCAAATAAACTATGAACCATACAAATGCAGCAAATGTTTTACGATGTACAAATAGTGTATAGGTACATAACATAATGGGTAAAATGTAAATATATTTTAAATTTTGGGGTTTGAAAATCGATCTAATTTAACAAAAAACATTCAATATCTAATAATAGTGATGTATTATTATTTGCATTCACAAAATTTATATGTATATCTTGCAAGTATCAATCTTCGAAAAATTATATTTACAAATAATACAATATTATCTAAAAAAGGCGTCAGCGATGGCTATGAAATGAAGATCGCTGGCATTTTATATGTAAAATTATTCTAAAATTTTTGATTTTCTTGGGATTTTTAGGTTCGGGAAAAACGCTGATTTAAGTTTTCATTTGGGTTTTCATTATTTTTATTTGGTTTAAAAAAACGTTTCGGCTAACTATAGCCTTCATCAGTGTTGTGTCATATGAGAAAAATAGTGTCGAATATAATCCAAAAAATTACATATACAATATAATTCACACCTCATAATATTTACTGCAATTAATAAACTAATATAAACTAATCAAAACATGACCACATATTTTTTAAAATTATTATTCTTAACACTAAAATTATCTACATTGACTATGGAGTACGCAGTACGCAGTAAACATTATGTGCGTGGTATGAATATTTTATATGTAATTTTTTGGATTATATTCGACACTATTTTTTTCATATGACACAACACTGATGAAGGCTATAATGTTAGCCGAACCGTTTTTTTTTTAAACCAAATAAAAATAATGAAAAACCAAATGAAAACTTAATCAGCGTTTTTCCCGAACCTAAATCCCAAGAAAATCAAAAAATTTAGTATATTTAGAAACAAGATTCAAGAATATCAAATTTTCCAAGATTGTAAAATTCTAGTTAATTATTTTATGTGTACAGTTATTTAGGGCATGTCATCGATGTTCATTTCCAAGCCAACTAGACGCCGATTTTTTTCGATGATACGGTATAATTCTTACATAAAATGTAAATAACATTAGACCAATTAAAACAAATAAATATGAATTTCTTAGTATTTTTAGTAACACCTTTATTCTTAAAACTTAATTTTGTATTATGCAAATATACCAATTTTATTGTTATTTTATTCATATTGTATTCAGCCATCACTTAAATATTTGATATTAATTTGGTATTATAAATAATCAATACTATTCATTAAAAATTACTGAACAAATATATGTTATGCTTTAACATACATTATATATTATCAAACAAAAACACATTCTTCTTTTAAACTGTATCAGTCTTGTCTCTTTACAAAAATCTTTTTAAAATTTGAACTCAATATAATACTCTTTTCATGATCTCTAATACACATATTCTTTACTTTTCCCTAGATCATAATACCTACTTACTTGTTTGAATCCATCGGGCTGAACCAGCAACACTTGAGTGGAGATTCCACAATATGAATAAAATAAACATAATTGTCCAGTTTTCATTAATACCATCATGGGAGAATATTATTTTTAAATTTATTAAAGATATTTTCAATAAAATTCTCTTGATTTATAACTCGTACCCACTTTTCTTGCTCTTCCGGACACTTTAGGCTGCCTAGTATAATAACTATCCTTAGTAACTATCCTTTCCACCAGGAACACAACAAAGATGAGGCATAGCACCAATAACACACTCCACTTAAGCTTTATTGATGAATTGTTAGAGTCTTAAAAAACACACACAAAAATCACGATAAGTAAAAAATGTATGGGCACTTTTAGGTTAAATCACTTGCACAACGTGTAATTTTTAAAATTTCTATTTTTTTATGCGAAACCGAGAGTGACCATATATCTGGTAGTAGTTTATGTCACTTAACACCAAAATAATTAGTTTTTTGCACTACAATAATAAATAATACCAAAAATCAAAGAGTTAAAACCAAAAATCAACCGACAAAATATGAAACGGAATCTAACCCAATATCTAAGTATGTACAGCTGATGAAGTAAACAAAAGTCCGCCCGTAGGCTGATCTTTTAATAGAAGGCACTGATCTGTCAATTCTAAACTGTGAAGTTAGACAATAGTTAGACAAAAACAATGCTGTCCTTGTCTAGGCGGCCATACTTGTCGTGAGGAGAATGACAGGAATGACACTAATGACTGTTTCCAATTTTCCTATTTCACTGTCACCCCCCTGGTTTGAGATATTTGTATAATTTCAAATAAGTTAAATTATTAAGGTTTTTAAATTTTTCTATGTACCTATTCAACCTGTGATTTGTGATTGTTCATTGTGATTATATTGCACCCGTAAATTGCGTCCTCTTAAGGAATTAACCAGAATTAGCTTATCACTGCCATCAGTGCAAAACCCCAGTGTGGAGGGGCTGTGAAACCAAAACAAGATATAGCTTTTAAACCGATTATAGAAAATGGTTGAAAATAACACAGTTTCTGTTTCTAAAGTATATTTATTTAAATGAGAATACCAATAATATACTTATTTTCTTTTATTTCAGGGAGTGTTTGTTTTTAAAAATAATTTTAAGCATACTTCTATGCTATCACATGGGAATACTTCTAAAATGTTTTCAAAAAATTTATGGCATAAGGAATTTAATCTATTATGGAATTCCATTTCTGAAGATATTGAGGTAATAGTATCTGTTAATCAATTTAGTTAGTTAATTTATTCATAAATGTTTTATAGGTGCTAACTTGTAATATGTTTTCTCTAATGACAAAGGATCTTTTAAGTTATATTAGACAAGCATACTATAATTCTTCTGTATGTGAAATTCCTACAGCTGCTCTTCTTACTGGTAGGTTGTTCTTAATTTACCTTTTAAATATACCAGCAGCTCATATTTTGATAGGTATAAATATGCCCGATCATGATAAACAGTTTAAGAATTTAAAAAGGCAAATTATAAATGATGTTTCACCACATGTTGCATTGTTAAATAGTCAAGATTGCAGTTCTGTAAAATCTCTAATGGATAATATGGTCTATCAGTTTTTAAACAATAGTGGTTGGGATAAGTCTAGTAATGTAAAAATATAAATTTTGCTTTAATTTAGGAAAGTCTATATTAATTCTAATGTATTTTAGGGAAATTTTGGAAACAATTTTAAGAAATCCCAATTAAATCTTTCTTTGTTAGAAAGGTGGTATGAGAATTTGTATTATACAAAGAATAAAAGTGCCCAGCCGATTAATAAAAATCTTCTAATTGTTGTTCTTCCCAATTTTGAAAGCTTTAATATAGGAGTTCTACAAAAGTTCATACTTATTGCAAGTTCCTATTTACAGAAGTTACCATTTTTATTTGTATTTGGAATAGCTACATCAATATCAACTCTATATACAGCTTTCCCATACCATGTTTCCTCAAAAATTAGTATAAAAGTTTTTAAGAATGAATCCTCTATACATCTATTAAAGAAAATATTGGAAAATGTATTTTTAAATTCATTTTGTGCATTTCAACTAGGAGGCAAAATTTTTAATCTGTTTACTGACATTTTCTTATTTTATGATTATTCTGTAAATAATTTTATTCAGAATATAAAGGTGAGTAAGTGAAAACAATAAATAAATAGAATTATAGTTTTACTAAATACAAATTATAGTACACAATGATGGAACATTTTTGTTATGGAAATGCCATGGCGTTGTGTAGTTTAGATAGGAATGATGTTAAAAATACATTAAATATCTTTAAAAGTGAAGATTTTGAAAATGTTAGACACTTGAAATCTTTTAGGTAAAATGGTATACTATATATATACAGGGTGTCTTGGGCCGAGCTTGTATTACAAGGAATATCTAGATAACTACAGTATCTAAATAGTATGTTCAAAAAGTTTTTGATTATATAGGATTACACTTTGATTGAATACCTATGTGAAAATATAAGGTGATTTAGGTGATAATCAAGGAGCTTTTCACTGCAATTTTCAAATTGATTAATATTTGAAAAATATGTGTGTCCAAAAAAAGTACAAAAAAATAGTGTTTTATACAGGATGTTTCAAAAAACATGTGCTATCTCTCTGTGTCTATCTAGAAATAAGATTTATTTTTTATGTCAACATAGGTCCGATTCTGCTTTAATTAGCTACAGGGGACTAGAGTCTTAATTTTTTTTCCAATTTATTATAATTTTCTTCCAAGTATTTTTATTGATTTGAATTAAATTTTGAGGGGGAAAGTTGCTAGTGCGACATATTTTAATGCTAAAATGTATCGACTATTTTATTTTAAGTCTATGGTATCGACAAATTCACCAGGGACGTCAATATGGGTTGTTACTGGAATATTTTTCTAATAAAAACATGTGCGCCACTGACTTTTTGTTTTCTTGTTAGCAAAAAAAGTGTAGACCGTTTAATGCCAATTAAAAGTTGTCCCTTGACATTTTGTCGATTTCGGTCTGCTTGGTGAGATAAACGCAATTTTATTAGTTTGTCTAAATCCAAGTCTAAATAGCAACTTTAAAAAAAAATGAATGTCATTAACTGACCAAAATGATAAATAAGTACTCATTGACTTCTCATAAAAAATATGAAAAAAGTACCTATAAACGTGTGCGGAAATGCATAGTTTTAAAGTTACCTACGGGATGTTAAAATTCCAAAAAAATAGATCTTGTTTAAATATTGTTAAATACCATTATCCATTATATTATTTTATTATTCATGAATTTGCTGTAGGAAGCACTGAACATCTCTGTATTTAAGTAAAATTAATAAATATCTTTAATAAAATTTAATAATAAAATAGGTTATAAGTAAATAATTTATTAATTTAATTTTAATTTTTTTAATTGTGTGATTAATAAAATTGCGTTTATCTCATCAAGGAGATGGAAACCAACAAAAAACTAAGATACATTTTTTAATCACCATTAAACGGCCTATAGACTTTTGCTAACAAGAGAAAAAAAGTCAATGGTTTTTTTAGAAAAATATTCCAGTGGTAACCCATATGCACGTTTCTGATGAATCTTTCGACACTTTTTTAGTACTAAAATATGTAGAATTTTTAGAATTTAGAATGAGTGGGAGGGGGGTTAATCACTTCGACCTTACAGATCCATTGTGTCCCCCTTTCTTGAATCATAACTCATCATACAGTCCCAGGGCTTTGACAAAAGCTTTGGGTATCTGGACGGTTTTATAGAGGTAGTTCTCCATCTCCACATTATCAGTCACCTCAAAAGTTCATGGCAGTAATGACGTATTTCTGTCGTCTCAGATCACTTAGTGATGAGGTGTATTGGTGTTTCACCATCTTCCCTACTGAATCTGCATTCGCCGTTTCCTCTTAATTTCAATCTACTGAGGTGTTCATTGAGGAGACAGTGTCCTGTTAAAACCCCGTGACAACTGAAGATTGTTCTTACTCAGACCCTTGAAGATCTGTGATTTTTCTCTTGATCATGTTCTCAGGAAACTCTTCTTCGACTGTTCTTGTGACCATTGTAAGATTTCCATTCCAGGTTGCGGGTGGAATCTTCCAAGTTCTTGAGTTCCGCCTTGAGTTGGAGCTACCACTGGTACAGAACGGTTCTGGTCCAGTTAGTGGAGGTTCAGTTCCCAGCTAGATTATTTGTTTTTCATTGCCTCTATCCCTTGGTGAGCAAGGTAAACCCAGTGTAGGAGGACCTTGTTTTCTTTGCCTAATTCTATTCAGCTTCTATGCATTCTTTGACCAATTTCTAATTGATTGATACTGAGTTTGATCGTCTTTAACGCTGCTTGACTATCAGATAAGACATTTGGCTATTTCTTTGTTTCCGATAGTTCTATCTAAGATAGTGTTGTATGCATCTCTCGATAGCGTAGGATTTCTTGCCTCGTAGGATACTAGGGGTAA